AGGGCAAAGCTTTAACAAACGTTCAGCTGTCGAGATTTCGGTAAAAAATTACCGAACACGACAATACATTCTGAGTGTGTAATTCGTATTAACCTACATACAAATGTCATTAACTTAACTTCTTGATCAATTTATACCATTTTTTGCACAGGCTCATATTTTGGGGTGGTTGGTGGCCTGAATGATTGGAAAACCTTTTTTCAAAACGAAACACTTTTGAAGGAAAACAATATTTTCTAACAACTAATTATCCATGTCTGCCTTGAAAAAAACCTACCTGCCTTGCCTACTTAACCTTCTTTAGATGTTGGGATCAAAATGAAAAAAAATTCTAGAAGTTTGAATTATCTTAACTTTCCATCCTTTGTGGAGACAATTTTTTAAATTTTGGACAATTCTGATTGGAAAAAAACCGGTAAGGACTGTTCATTAACTACGTACAGTTTTTTTTTTAGATTCTTGCATCCCCCCCCCCCCCCTTCAATGCTTAGACAACTATCCATACACAATGTTTTTAAATTTTTATGGACCGTGGAAACTTGACAATCCCCCTCTCTAAACTGTCTACGTAGTTTATGAACAGCCCCTAACATTGAGGTGTTTACGGGTCATATTGACCCGGATTTCAAATAATTTTGAGAAAGGTTCTTTTGATCAAATCTGTATGTTTTCATAGTCAAATTGATTTTTAGAGTCATAATTTTCAGTTTCTGAACGATATCACCGATTTTTACCCAGTTGGTCAGCACGAATTGATACAGGAAGAAGGCATATGTATATGTTTGATAACAGTACAGCTATATAGGTTATTCATTACACTATGCACTTTCTGTAACAGACCAATTGTATAGGGTGTCCCAGAAAGTATAAGCTCAGCTTATTATTGGAATAAAACAACTTTATGTTAATTGGTTTTCCGTCGATCTTATTTTCCGTGCTGAGCACCAATGCTACCGAAGCCAGGGAGACACCTCCAAAACCTGGACCTATTTGATAGATATGTTCTCTATAGTATTCTCTTTCAATTGGATGAAAATAATCCAAAGCTCCTTTAATCGTATGCCAATGAGCGAGCTTTTGATCTGACACTGCCCAGGAGCTTCAGCACAGATTCCTTGGCGACGATTTTTTCCAACTTTGTCCAGTCTTTTCAAAATTCTTTGATTGAATTCGCTGCATTAAACTGCTTTCGTATATATCTCTTAGAAAGGGCCTAAAAAGTTTCGATTGGCCGGGACTCCGGACAATTTGGAGGATTCATCTCTTTTGGCACGTATTGCACATTGTTTGCTTTGTACCTAGCTACCGTGTTTCGAGTAGTGCATTGACAGGGCCATCATGTTGACGGATCATGGGCCGCAAACGTCGATTCAAACACTCAATTTTACTGAAGTAACGTAAATTTCAGGGTTCATCGTCTCTTTCGTCACAAATATTGCTGATTCACATATATCTTAACATGCATCGATATTTCACAAATAAGCAGAAGCAACATCCGCAGCTGTCAAACATAAACACAACCGGATAATAACTATCATTCTTCGAAGCCTCGATTGAAGACAGATCGATCCATCTTGTCCTCATGAAATGAAATAGTGTAGTAGTCCATAGGTTGGTTGAAGCATCATCTTTTGCCAATCCGCTGAAAAGCAGTTTTAATTTATTTTTCTATTCAAATATTTCAAGATTTCTTCAATTTATCTTGCGAACTTCCACCTGAATTGTTGTTTTAAATGTTTCTTTTCATATTGTATGTGCTGTCATGCGAACAAGGTTTTCAACGATTTTGGTTCAGTGTTCGAAAATCCCAAAAGTAGCTGTCAGTGACGATTGTCAATTTTGGTTGTCAAATCTGATGCCAAATGCTAATTTTTCTCTGAACTGGCAATAACAACTTACATGATAAAAAAACGCCAATTTTGCTCACAGTAGGCTAATATATAGATTCCAAGCTCTCAGTTTGACGTATGCAGCTTGTTTCTGACTCCTTTTTATAGCGAATTCGTTTATTATTCAGTTCCAACCTGGATCGGGTATCAAGATTGGGTCTGCTTGTTTTTTGACATACGTCAGTTTGCTGTTTGTTTTTAAAACCTAGCTCAGGTTGAGGTTCGCACTGACAAAAAGTTCGGTTTCGCACTGGGTTGGAACTGGTTGAGTAGTAAAGCCTTACTTTTTGTGTCATTGAAATTGGGATTTATTACTGGAAAAGGATATGTTTCTTGATTAGCCAAGTTTTGGGCCTAGTTTATAATCAGCAATATTTGTAAAATATTTCTACAACATAATTTCATACGCATCAATATGATGTGACTAGAAGCGTCGCATGTTTAGTATAATGAGAAAGTTGAGTGTAGCCACCAAAACTGGTATCCGGAACATCCGGGATTGGTTCCTTAAAGCCGAAAATTAATAGTTTTGTACTCAAACAGACATTGCCTCTTACTTTCTTATCTTTTTCTTATATGTATAGATTTGTGATGTTTTATGAATAACCTGCTGTGACCAAACATGGCTTCTTCCAGCGTCGATTCCTAGCGGCCAACCGGGTCGATAGCGGTAATATCTGCCAGAAACTTAAAATTAAGATTCTAACATACGATTTGACTATAAAACATTCAAATTTGATAAAAAAAAAACCTTTCTTATAGGGGAAATCACTCTAATGTTGGCCTAACGATCTAAGATTGGGCCCATCGCTAAAAATCTGCTATTTATCAATTTTATCTAGAATAACGCGTCATTAGGACAGTACTTATGGATATTTTTGGTCGCTTTTGAAAATTTAGTCGATTGCTGAATTTAAGTATGGACCCAAATTAGGGGCACTTAGCCCGACATTACATACATTTCTCCTATTCATTTTTTAATCCGAATCAATATGACCTGTTCACACCTCATGTGAACACCATTTAAAAAAATATATAACTCATAAACGAAAAAAAAAAGCTTTCCTGGATGTTTGATATGTTTAGTAAAAAAGCATGAGCTTTAAAAAATATATAAAAATCTAGGATCTCTTTGGTCTCGGCACTGTGAAATCTATAAAAAAAAAGACTTTTTGTTTGTTTTAGTATATTAAAACTCATTTTACCTTCAGTTTTATATTTTTCCAGATATCCCTTTTAAAAACCTTTCATTTGCTGAAGATCGAAAATCGGTCCAGTAGTTAAATAGTTATGAACTTTCATAGGTATTTGTCGAAATGTCGATTATTTTGAGTGTTTGAGGTTTCAGTGAAACTCAGAGCAATCTTTTTTCTCGGTAGTATTGTTTTTCATATCATACATGAAAAACTTTTAACCTTTAAAAGTGCCCATCTCTCATCGTTTGGACGACTTGTGGAAAATTTAACTGTTTTTCTACAAAAAAAAACATAATTTTTAAAAGTAAGGTATTTGGGAAAAGAATCTTTTTAATGTTCGGAAAAAAAAGTTCTAAATGTACAGTTTTCTAAAAAAAAATTATCAATCCATTTCTATACAAATCAAAAAAATAACAAAAATGTTAAGTACAAAAATTAAAATTGTTCCAAAATCTTGACTTTCAAAAATTTCAAAGCATCCAATGTGATCCAATTTCAGAAAAATTTGCATTTCTAATAAACTTTGACGTAAACATCATAAGAGACATCGAATTTGTATTAAAACGTTAGCTCTTTTTAACTTGAATATTGGAGAAAGCTTCACCTGATTGAACCGTCAGATAGATAGAAACGATCCTCTACAAAGTCATAAGAAAACAGACACCTTCCAGTTCAAAAACAAACCCATCTTCATCTCGTATCTCAGTTCAAAATTCATTGTAAATAACATAATCAAATATCATAAAATCATTCTGTTGTTGTAGTTATGTTAAAAAAAATGTTTTATATATTGTCTTTTTCGTGATCAGAACTTCAGCGTCCCTATTTTAAGATTCCTGTTTATAGATGGGCGTCTTAATGGACCCTAAGAAAGAAGAACTAGTGAATTCCTTTCAATTCAACTAATGTATTCCTTATCCTTGATAGCTTCTTGTATTTTGTTTACTGTATACGTACTTGTAGATAAGGTTGCTCTGACTCATTTTGCTATAACAAATGTTTTTCAAAATAGTGAAATCATTAGCCCTCGGCCTAATGATTTCATAATTCCAAAAAATATTTTTTACAGCCAAATTAGTCAAAGTAACCTTGCTTGCATTCAACATCAGACAAGAAAAGTTGAATACTGTAAAGTCCGCATTTAGTCCAAACGCAATGATGCGGCTTTGCCGGTGGAAAAACCCAAACTGTACTAGTGTAGTTGTCGGATAGAAAACTAGTTTAGATCCAACTTGATTGTGATAAGACCAAGGTTGCTGCAAAATCGCTGTAAATAAATGTTTTTTTTTCGGAATTATGCAATCATTATACGTTACGATGATATTTTGTACTTGTAAGTTTCAAGAAGATGTAAGGTATGTGTTCGACACATAAAACCTGTCCATTCCGCTTTCAGGAAGTCACAATTAACGATTTTATTATCGAGTAAGTAAGTGCGTGAAAACAGACAAGATGCGATATCTCGGTATCATTTGAATCGCCAGACAAAACTACTCTACATATCCGCTTCTGCAGACATTGCGTTTGTGCCTTATGTGCAATATTTATCGCATACCGTAGGAGGAATAATAAAGAATTAACTACTTCTCCTTATATCTTTACTCGTTTGTTTAGATGTCGTTTTTCAGTGTTATGTGTTGCCAACAAAAATGTTCCAATAGAAAAAATATAACCATGTTCCCTTATTATTCCAGTACCTACACAATGAATATTAATGGCATTGCTTTTCGAACCATTTCTATGATGTGTTCCGTTTCAATTGCCAATGCAACCCTACATCCTTTCCCCAAAGGATTGCATGTTTCATGTCAAACAGAGTGTTAATGTTCCGCCACTGATTGTTTTCCCAAACGTTTGCTGGATTTCAAATGATAAAACATCGATTCTAATTCATCGCATTACTGCTTTCTTCCAGCATAAACACCTGCCGCCTGCATGGTAGCCCAACGCATCATCCACATCATCATGGAGGCGGCCATCATCATCACCATCATCACGGTATGCGTGGGATGGATCTAATGGATGACTTAGCACTGCCCTATCAAGATCACAACCATCACAATTCCCCGATGTCGCCGATAAATTTAAATCTCCTGTCAACGGCCAGCACGGCCGTCCCAAATCCGCACCAATCAACAACCGGTGGCCTGTCGAGTGCCGGTGCGGCCCTCCTTGATCCCCACAGTACCTTCCAGACCAGCCTGGCTGGAGGTGTTGGTGGAACAAGCAAAACTAGCACAAATGTGATAATTAACACTGCAACAAACACTACTACTAGGAGTAATCTAAGCTGTTGTAATAATCTTTTCCTCAACGATGGACGAACTGGGTTAGATAGTAGCGTTCAATTAACGAACAATAACAGTGTAGGTGGTGCCATTGACTCGTCAACAGCCGTTCCGACGGTGCCGATTATCAACACCACGGACAGTGGTCTAGGTGGGAGCGGCGGTGGCGGCAGCGGCACTGACGGCAAGGACAAGTCCACGCGAAATCGATGGCTCTCATGTCCCGAGTTGCACAAGGCGATGGACGGAGTCACGTACATCGCTGACCACACGCGGAAGGAAGAGGAGAGTACGAGGGTAAGTGCATGCATGATATAGGTACCGGCATAGCACGGAACGACAGGCTGGCTCTTTGATGGTTAACTTGTCGTTGAATGTCAATTTTGATGTGAAGGCAAACACGAATTTTGCATTATAGATGCAGGAGTAGTAAGCGCTCCTGATTTCTAAATTGGATTCTAATTGGCAGTTTCGGCACTAGTAGTAATTTTTATCCCTATTTATTATAAAATCATGCCGAACACACGTTGTCAGCATAACCGTTTTAAAAGAGATTTTTATCAATGTGATACAATGATTAAACATCTTTTCTCGAGCTATTGGTAAAGATATACTCATGGTTATAAAAGCACACTACTTACGTAGAATCCAAGCATCATAATGTTATTGATGAAAAAATCAACATAAAAATCCATTGCATATCTACCAACAATCAACTGGTTTGCCATTACCAGTCATTCGTAAATTTTTATCATTTACATTTGGACCCCCATTATCTTTAAAGTTCTCTGGGTTTGCTCGTATTTATTAAACTGCGACCTACGCAATAAACGAACACTCCTTCCTACTGTAGATGGATAGGTAACAGAATGGTATTATTCAAATCATTCGGTTCCAGCTCCCGGCCGCATTTCTAATCTGTATTGTTTACACAGGCGGAGAAAAGGACCGGCAGTGCTGAAACGTCTCAACGCTTCAAAATCCCACATTCCCACAGCAGAGACATTGGGCTTCCCGAACCGAGCAACATACCATCGAAAGCTAAGAATTTCACTTTGCTTCACAGCAATGGAACACGGGAGCCAAATAAGTTGCCCATTTAAAGTTGAGGAAAGATTCGAATTGCAATCATTCCCTAACATACATACTTAAAAATAACGGATGATGAAATCCATCTTTGACATAAAAAATGAAACGTAAACAAACATGTCATGTCAAGTGCTCCGAGACTGAAAAGTTCGTTGCTCGACGAAAAGTACGATTGATTATGCTATATTTCGTGCCTGTTAGGATTAAAATTTATGTCAAAATTGACGGTCATATATGTCACTCTCAGAGAACACATGAATTTTTCTAAGTTTGCAGGAATTTTATTTTCAATTTTCCGTTGGTATTTATATCGGTTTTTGAATGAAACGATAGTATTGAAAGAGGAATAAGGATTATTTATTCCTATAATAGTGATACCCGTTATTTTGGAATTTGTAAAAAGCACACTTAGAAAACATCATGTAAAGTTAGGTGCTATAAGACTGACATATAAGAGCGTCAATTTTGACATAAAAACTTTAAACTGTTTAGACTCGGAGCACTTAACACTATTTGTTTACGTCTGATCCTTTATGTCAAAGATGGATTCCGTCACGTGTAATGGGGGGGGGGGGTTGGTAATTCCAGTATATTCTATTTTGCATAAAATTCCAAAGATATCCCGTTAAGAACTAGGATTTCAAGGAATTACCAAACTTAATCAGACTAGCGCCTGCTGACAGTATGAAAACTGGAAAATAAACCATAAAAAAACAAAAAGGCCCCACGTCACCGAAAGCATTGTCAGGCAATGGTATTCTTTACCCAACTATTGTTTATCCTCTCTTGTCATGACCAACGTAGTCATCTCAGAACAGCGTCAGTTTGGTCAGCGACGTTTAACGAAAACCAAAAAAAAAATTGTCACGGTTCAAAAATCAGCGTTGCCAACCTTCCAGTGTTATGTGGAATCTTCCAGATTTTATAGGACCATCCAGGCATCGTCTTGTCTAGATCAGACTTTTTATGATTTGTCCAGATTTTTCCACAGTTTTCAATTCGCCCTGATGTACAATGTTAAATAAAGTAGGCATCAAACGGTTTCACTGCTCACGGAAAACTTTCAATTATTACTCCTCGGGAAATTATTCAGGGGGATGATCAAAAATTTAGATAGCTGATCTTATCTTTTTGGAATTAATTTCTAGATTAAACAAACACTATTTGAAAGGTGTGACTATCTACTTTTGAGCAAAATTTACAGGGATCCGATTGTACCTGTGGCTAGCCAGTTGGGACGGGAAAACCCGTAAGAGATGGCTCTACGGAAATTCGAATTCACCAGCAAAATTGTCAATTCCTGAAAGTAGACCTAGAGATCCGTGTTTTTTTTTCTAAATAGCATATCATCATGAGTATATAGAAAATATGCCATCTATCGATTCCGTTGCACATACATTTTAAGTTTCAACTAGGAAAAAATAGCTTCAAATGGATAAAAGTTGAACGATTTGGCTCAAATTTTGAACAAAGCTTCAGAATTGCATAAAGAACAAGTAGTATTATGATGAAGGTGCAGGATCATGATTTAGTCACCTTAAGGTTCAATTTACTTTGATGCTCTTTGGAAAATTTCAAAAGCAGTTTTTTCCGACGCATTATTTCAGATTGCAAAAAGCTCGCACTATTCGATTCCTTTTGATATTTTACACAAAATGACGCGAGCTTTTTGCAATCTAAAATAAGACGTCGAAAAAAACTACTTTTGAAATTTTCCAAAGAGCATCAAAGTAAATTGAACCTTAATGGCGACTGAACATTAAATTTTGATGGTTATCAACTAACTTCAAATGTTTTTTTTTTCCTGTTCTGGACCACTTATTTGATCTATTGTGGTTTACCCCGTGTCCTTTGTTTAGTGCATGCCGTATGAAGAATCCGATTTTTTACACTTGTCATTCTTGCGCTTATCGCTAGGATCCAACTCTAATTGTAAGATCCTGCTCTTTATACCCTTCGAAGTGTTAGCGCGCCCCTTTGTCAGTCAAAACCGGATTCCTTCTCAACAAAATCAAGCTATAACACCGATAATGACCACGTATCAGAATCCTAGTCTTAACCACTTCAAACTGGTGCAGCAAATAAAAGATTAAGAATCACGTAGATGAAAAATAACTGCCTAGCTGATTTTTTCCTTGTTTCAAGATCATATTTGGTGGACAAAGCCAAGTCTTGGCATAACAAGTAAAAAAGGACTAAGATGTGTTCCTTTGATTACAAAACAGTCCTGTTCCCCTAGTTTGAAGTAGTTCGGACAAGGCTTCGGTGATAGATCTTAATGCCAGTAACGCACCACGAAAAGGTTATCTACCAGGTGTTGTTGGGCTACTGCAAATGTTGTTCATGGTGTACTCGACTAGACTAACAACCAACAATAGGTCACTTGAAATGTTCATTAAATTTATTATTATTTGTAACATCTGTGTTATCATCAAGATAGTCTTATAACGTGTTATAACTGCTCAGTCTGGCCAGCGTTTAAAATGACAAAATTATCTAAAAAACCATCCGACGACAGAATACGGTGAAACATTACAAAATCTGTGTTGTTTTTATGCAAATCTGTAATAGAATCTTACATAATTATCTCGATTGGATGTACCATTTTGTTAGCTATCCATATTTCAGTAAAGTTTTACTAAGTCAGTTACAATTTCATGCAACGTTTAGAATATTCTTCTTCTGCCAAACGAATATCATTTGCTACATCGCGCAGACAGCAGGCACAAATCCAGCATCCGGTCAGAGGAAAGTCGCACAAATGCTCACTAGAGAGATACGAAGAAAGATCTGCGTGTCTAACGATAAAGGGATGCATGAAATTACTCCAACACTTGGGAACCTCTTTCCCAAAGTTTGTTTAAATGATAAGTGTCTTGTTTACGGAATGTTCAGCTGGGAGCAGACGCTCCCTCGTTAGATGTTGTACGTCTTTAGGATCGTCTGCTTAAACCTATATCCAGATGCGTGATGCGATGCTAAAGCACACACACGCACATGATTCACAACACATCTGAGAGAGAATAAAATGTATCTCCATAAGACGAAAACACCGAACGTTGCTGTTGATTAGGAGAAAGTTTCACTCAGCTTAAGACTGATTTTATGGGGAAATAATTTTAATGTCATTATTTTCCGCCTTCTAATCGTGACAGTGTGAACAGGCTAATGTATAACAATTAGTGCTGACCTTTCTACGACATTGTATCATTTTCTTACCGGCTGGCCAGGCTGATTGTTGGCGGTAGATGAGTTTTGGGTTTATATTACATTCGGCAATCCTCTGAGATATGCCAGCAAGGATATCATTTTTTATCGTGGACAATTTCGTTGTCAAAGTTTTTATGACGTTATTTACGGGTTGGTGACACGGTGTGGGAGAGCCGTCGTTAATTAATTGGTGCGGAATAAAAACAGAAACCACCTAATGTATTATCCAGTGATGATTTGTGACGGTTTTACGACTTCATCGCTGCTGTTGTGTAGATGGAACAAATGAACTACTAATGGTACCCATTCAATCAAATAATATGAGTAAAATGGGCTCTGAATATGCGGAAGGCAGAATGGAGTAAGATGATTTGTATGAGCTTTTGAAATTTTGGTGATATCAAAATTTTAAATTTATGATGGGCGTCCCTAAGATCACTCGGTAAAGGCGCAGTATAAAACAACACCATGCTGGAGGCGGCTGTGTTCGATTCCCGATCCAGCTTAGGAACTTTTTGGGTTGTAAATTTGCTCGACTTCCCTGGACATAGAGTATGATTGTACTTGCCACAAAACTATCCTAATGCAAACATGGTACACCCTAAGTAACAGTTTAGCAGCCTTCTGGCTTTCACACTGATTTATTGTTGTTTATATTTAATAGCAATAAGCAAAATTTTAGTTTAAATGCAGCATTTAAAAGTGCAGTAGTTCAGCATTTTGCTGTTTTCAAAAACCTTTTAAAGTCTGACGATAAAGTCAAACGGGTCTGGTTTTAAAAATGAATTTAAAGCAGCACTCTATCCCTGTATTTTTTCTGCATTGATGCCACGACAAAATACTCCATAAAGGTATTTTATCATTATAAAAGCAATTATGCTGCTTTTTGGTATCAATGCAGTGTATCACAAAACTCACTACTGTTTACAAATTAAACTAAAAATGTGGATCCACCTAGAGACAGAGAAAAAATAAATCGATTGGAGCTTTTAAACGAAGAATCACAAGGAAATGCCGAAGGGCAGTCGAATAATAATACTAGCGATAGTAGGAGGAATAATTGTAGCGATGCTGTCGACGGAAAGGAAAAGGACTCCAATTCCAGAACTTCCTGGGAGGCCCAGCAGCTATGACTGAACCGGTCAGCAATGACAGAACAGCCGACTAAGAAGCGTGAGTGAATGCGGTTCACGAAGCACTGGAAGCCGTCAAATTAGACGCTTAAAATTGATGGGAATACCCAAAATATTGTCAATGGCGTTTGCGACACGATCTGAATAAACACAGACCAACCTTCTCCAGAAATCGCGTTTTGTTGATAATTCGAATAACATGCGGAAAACTGCCGACAGGAAACTTCAGAAACTGTCAGTCAGCTGGAAACTGATTGCCTTCCGAACCATAGCAGTGGCTTCATTCGGTGAAAGGGTCAACTGTTCCAAAAAATCCAAGCAAGCGCACATTAATTTCCTCGGATCATCCGGGAGAAGGGAAACTTTTTCGGAACGCTTGAGCTTCCACCTGTTCCAAGTTATGCAGATACACTTCCTGATTAACTGCTTCCAATGGATGATAATCGCCCTTATCGAGGATGCCACGCAACTTGTAGATCCAATTGTGACGTTTAACTTTTTCCAGGTACCATCAATGCCGTCATAAAACTAAACGGAATAGGATCAAGCAAAATGGCCTCAGATAAATACAGTTCAGTCTGCAAATTATCTTCATTAAAGCCAAATTAAAACGTTTTGTATTTGTTAGCGATTTCATGAAAGCAAAATAGCTTTTTCACAATTGGCCTATGGAAAATAATTTTAAATGCCACCGCCATATTGCTATTATAACTTTTGTTTTTTTTTTATTTCGTTTTTCAAATAACTTGAAAATAACTTTAATCTCATAAATTCAACGATGAGTAGTAATAGAGATTCCGAAAATCATTAAATTATCTCGGCTGGACGCAATGATTGATAAACAAACATAAACATAACTATACGTTGTTTCCTAAATTAAAAATGATATGTAAAATCAACGATTTCCGAAGGCTTATTTGTTTCGATCTTTCGGAGCACATTCCACATTAAATTTAATCTGTCACCTAAAAACAGACCACAAAATGAGAACTGCTTCGATAATTTTGGAAATCCTTTCACATTAGATGAGTAAATTTAAGAAGTTTTTCGAAAGATTCATTTTTGAACAATGAACTTGGCAAGATCTGATGATATTTATGTATCCTTTTTTATCTTGATTGATGCTTTATTTTCAGTGCGGTTAGCAAGCGTCAAAGGCAAATGAGACAAACCAGCTAAAGACTGAAAGTCTCTATAATAAAGCAAAAAAAAAGGCAAATGGCACAAGTATTGATGCCAAATGGCTTTTATTATAGTTTTGATAAGGATTTCAAATGGTTTTCAATATTTTCGTCGTATAACCTTTTTGCAGCAAATCAAGCTTGAAGTGCCTCGAAAATATTCCTTTCAAAACTTCTTCGGGTAGGGCGGGCGTTAAGTCCCAGTAGGGGCGTAATGAAACCAAAGTAGAAGGTGGGACAAACTCAATACAGCCACCGAAAATAACGTTTTCTGATACCTATGACATACTATATTGGACAGTATCATGTTTATATTCGCATATGGTGTGACAAGTTATGCTCAGGAATGTTGGGAGATGATTCCACTAAAAAATATCTAGACCTGACCGTGGATCAAACCTACCATTTTCAACATAATCTTGCTTTATAGATATTCCTTTATCAAAGTTGTTCCTTAAAGTTAGGCCCTCATTTTTACGACAATGAATTCTAGGGTGGTTCTTATTATCAATAAAATCTAACTTTTTTGTTTGAAGAAACGAAGGTATACATTTTTCGGCAAAGTTATAGCTGAACTAATTTCAAGCAACTTAGCAACTTGTCGAAAACTTCTTTATTTCATTTTTCTCATGAAAGTCATCTTCTAAAGACTTTTAAAAGCTATTTAGGGCACTCGTTTTATAGCTGTTGAAATGTTGGTAGTTTTTGGCCATTTTTAAATGTATTTCGCGGTACTTCAGTTCCGAAAATAAGAGATGAACTAGCCTATGGCTAAAAATCTCTCTAATAAAGAAAAAAAAAAGTTCCGAAAATATTTTTTCCGAAAGATTAGAAAATTTTACAATGAAAATGCCCTCGGTGGCTTGATAGTTCGGTACGTTTCGAAAGCTGTATACGACTAGAATCACGAATTTTTAATCTTCTGTTAAGTTGGTTCTGTTCCGCAAAACCCAGATCAACCAACTTCTGTATATTGGTATCCGTGAGATTTCGGCAATTTTTCGAGCAATTTTTTTTAAACACGTGTATGTACTAATAATGAAAAGTATTCATTTTAACTGCCACTTCGTCTTCTGAATTCCTGAATTACAGGTCACTTTCACAGATACACAGCGAATTATATTCTAATGTTGATTACGTGTCAGATTTGGCTTATATATGGACGTAGGTAATTCAAAACCAACCCACTTGGTACCATGAATTGCTTAGCAATAGGTAGCATGTTAACATTATAGCAACAAGTTTATACCTATTAGGTGCATGAAAAAAGGTCGCATTGTTTTATTTTTTATATTTTAGAAGACATTTGATATATTCATGAGCCACCAAGAGCATTATTATTGTTAAATTTTCTGATCTTTCCAAAAAAAATATTGTCGGAACTGGAGAACTACGAAATACATTTAAAAATGGCCAAAACTACCAAAGACATTTTAAAAATATCTACTTTCAAACCACTACATCTTGAAAACGGTGCGAAAACGGTAAAAAAACCTTGATTGATTTTTTATTGTAAAAAAGTAATTTGACCAAGTTTTGGATGTTTTTCCATAAACTTGAGTGTAAATAAAAATCAAAACTTTTTTGTCCATCATTTCTCCAGTGCAATAGATGGCTGTTTTTGTTCCCTAACATATATCAACAAATTAAAAAAATACAAAAAATCATTTTTTGAGACAAATCGTTTTAAAGATTTTATTTAAAATTAAAGTTTTCGAGTAAAAAATTTCTGTCTTAAGCCTAACACGGGAGATATTAAAATCAAAGCAGTTATAACATTTGTTGAAAATCTTGCACATGCTAGTTAACGGCTAATTAGCGCCGTAGTTTGTGCGAGAAGCAGGGATATTGAAAAAATAATAATAACGTAAATTTACGCGTCTGATATTGACATTCAACTGCTGCAGAAGTCAAGACGATTAGGTGGAAAATCGCACTATTAACACTTTTTAATAAGTGCAAACGCGCTTATTTGTCCAGTTTGGTGTGAAATGCGCAATATTTAGATTCCATACTTTTAAATCCTTTATCACTAATCCCATGCCCTCTTTGGTCTCACTCCACAGGTAAAGGAAGACTGGAAGTTTGTGGCCATGGTGCTGGATCGATTGTTCCTATGGATCTTCACCATAGCGGTAGTATTCGGGACGGCCGGGATCATCCTGCAGGCGCCCACACTCTACGACACCCGAGTGCCGATCGATATCAAGATGTCGGAGATTGCAACAACGACTGCGAAACCGTACATTGCCAAACCTGTGTTATAATCAACTACGCCACCCGGCGGCAGTTCCGTCGTCGTTATCATGGACCGAACGCACCGAGGGAAGCGTCCCTTCCGATTTTCTACTGTTTCGTTTGTTAGAAAAAAGAAATTGGATACCCGGTGGAACACATCTATATCAAACTGAAGCAACGGAGAAATAAAACAAACTAGGGCAAAAAGATTCAGCCACGTGGCAGACAAGAGGAAGTTTATAAAGTATTTTTTAATTCCTCTCAAGTGGTTCCATGTTGAAAACGAACACAAAACGTGAGAAATAGACGAGAACGAGGGAAACGAATGGGGAAAGAGTCTTGTTTCCGTTGTTTATTAAGAGGACTGAACTGTTTAAAATTTTATTAACGTTTTAAACTTGATGTAGAGATTTTTCGAGCGACTAATTGAGATCGTCTAGATTTTTTTCTATTCGCGAGAAGAAAAAAAAACTTAGGGAAAAGTTGAAATGTTGTACTTAGGTCATTGTTGAGAACGAAATAAAAAACAAATTGTTGTCATCGTAACGAGCAGGTTGTAGCGTGTGGAGAAAGGATGCTGCCATAAAATTTAAACCGTTTGGTTTTCCAAATGAGATTATTTTAAACGTATGACATGTATACCAAAGGTTTCAAAAAAGTTAATACCAGAAATAGTAAATTCAGCTAGTCATGGAATTAAATTCATCAATCAAAAAGCCAAGGACTGTGAGACAATGTGTTTTATTTATATGATGTGGACTTATTGTAAAACAAGAATAACGGCTATTTATTTCAAGTATTGTCGACAAATATGAAGGACAACGCAAGAATCTGCGTCAATTGTCAATTATTCGATTAAGTATCTAAATTTGAATCAAATTCAAATATTGAATAAGCACATGTACTCTCAGGCCATATATAAATCATTTACTCACAAGCACTTCAAGGGGTGCTCGGACGCATTCTGCACATATCTTTGAAGGTATTTACTTCATTGCATAATTTGCTAAGTTTTCTCTACTCCAGCCAAAATGGACTGAAACCCAAATGAAAAACATCTTTTCAAGATCAGAGATGTAAGTAAGAGCATTTTTTCTGTGCACAGGATAAAAAAAAAACATGATTTGATGAATATCAAATAATAGCTACATTTGATGTGATAAGACTGGATGCCAGGATCACGATAGAATTCTGCCTGATGGTATGTAGTGGCAAGTTGTTCCAAACTTGTTGAAGAGCTTGAGTAAGGAATGCATCATTAACAGAAAGTTAAAGCTGCAAAGGATCATTTTACTCTAGTGAAACGGGATCTAATTCCAGTTCCTATTACTGCCGTAGGACAGATTTAAGTTTCATCGCAGTTTGGACATGTTTGTACAGTAATGATAATTGCAAACAGCTTTAGTCCGGGGGTTTAAAAGGTATAGCTGTATTGCAGATCCAGCAACTGATTTCAGAATGTCTGGTGAGTCACGCCTATTCCGAGGCCACTTTTACATACAATAAGCCCACATGTAAACACTATCGATATCAAATGGATAATGGTACTGTAAACACACTTCCAGATGTCAAAACATGGTGGTTCTAAATCAGGCCTAGGCAAGCTCCTTGTTTGTCATTCGCGGTTATCAATAAAAAAAACATCTCGTTTATAGCACTGTCCCAACCATGGTGGGTATATAAATGGTGATACAGCTTTGTCACTATATAGGCGAGGAGGTCACGGGGGGGGAAAATGCGGTTTTAGAGCAAATTGTAAACAAACTCGGTCGCTGTCCCATACAAAAATCCAACATGACTGAATCACGAATTTGACACATTAACACCTATATGTAGCCACCTTGGTCCCAACCGAGAACGCCTTTACAACAAAATGCTGTCGAACCGCGAAATAACGCGAACTACAAAACGATGTTTGTTCATAACTTTCAAGGAATTTTTTCAATCGATTCCAAACTGATAGCGGGGCAAAACGTCTGATTTATGGTGCAATATGCACTACAACATTGGAGCAAAACTGACGACAACAATGGCCAAAACGCAGCACAACATTGGGGTAAATTGCACCGCATGATAGAGACAAACCATTACCTGCAAATAGAGAATAGGTATGAGGTATTTAAATGCTCATTCCTTTATGTTTCATCATAAATAGAGTGTAAAACTGTTATTCATAAAGTAAAATATCTAAAAAATATACGAAACGTGAATTCGTACCATCTTTTTGCGATTTATGCTGTTACAAGCTTAATTTTTAGTCGATGATCTTAACAACTGCTTCATTTTTTGCACAAAATGCAATCTTTTAAGCAATTCGTAGGTCAATATATGATTTCATTATCAGGAATTATTTGTGAAACCTCCAGCTATACCAAACAATCCTTTACCCAGAAAATGTATTTTTGTTGTTTTTCTATAAGTGAGCATTTTACCCCAGGGTTGCGTTATGGGCTGTTCTCCCTTACACTAGCCGCAAGAAACAAAAAAGACACGAAGGCGGAACACCGAAACAAAAGGTGGGAAAACCGACTCACTCACTTATGAACTCACGAAAAAAAAATTAAATTTGAGCGTAACTTTAGAATAGGCCCAAGCAACTTTTAAAAACAACTTGTTAGGGCCTTTTCAGGCGAATCGAAGTACACCCACGCAAACCAACAAATCTATCGGTAAATTTTCCCCTTCCCTATAGTAGTCTTGGATTGAGTGAACGTTCTTCGGTTCACCTGAAAAGGCCCTAACAAGTTGTTTATAAAAGTTGATTGGGCCTATTCTAAAGATACGCGAAAATTAAGTCATGTATAATTTTTTAGTAAACACGGTACCGCTCAAGCTTCAAATTTTTTCATGAGTTCATTCTGTACATTGGTCAATTCTGCAACAAAGGCCGATCGTAGAATAAACATCCCTATGATGAATAATGGTTAAGACTCAAGTTTTTTTTTGAGGTCAATAGGCAATGAGGCACAGGAAAGGTGAAGTACTGTGTTTTTACTAAGACAACTTAACCGATTGCTTCACCTCGGTAAACCAGTACAGTGCTGATAATTTTCATATCATTCGATTGAATATGAACCAATACAACCATTCAATCAGCGGCGCCGGTGATGTAGTCGTAAGCGTGATTGCCTCTCACCCCAGCAGGCCTGGGTTCAATCCCAGTCGGCGCCGCCGGGATATCCTGACGCATAACATCTCAGATCACGCCTTCCTTTGGAAGGGAAGTAAAGCCGTTGCTCCCCGGTTCATGAGTTGATGGATAGGTAGGGTGCAGGTGAGGGAGCTGCCTCCCTGGCGTCGGTAGCATTGGTGCTCATCACGGAAAACAAGATCGACGGAAAACAAATCAAGGAAAAAAAAACGTTCAATCAATTCTGTGAAAACGAACTCTCACATGACCATAATTTGAAGAGCCCCTTTCTCATTTGAAGCTCATCGTCACTGTCAACTGAGTCACTCACTATCATTTCAGTGCTAACATTTGAAAACGGCACAAAAGCCATTTGTAAACAAATGGTTTGTGGGCCATTTACTCGCTACCCGAAGAACGCCCACGCAAACCAACAGCATCGTCAGGAAGGGGAAAATTTTCCCTACCCGATGTTGCTGTTGTGTCGCGTGGGTGTACTTCAAGTAGTGAGTAATGGGCCCACAAACCATTTGTTTACAAATGGCTTTTGTGCCGTTTTCAAATGTTAGCACTGATTTGATATACGACAGTGGAGTATGGAAGAAACTCAGCAAAGTGGTCCCGAACAATGTAAGGCAAATTTTAGCGGCGCCGGTGGTGTAGTGGTAAGCGTGATTACCTCTCACCCCAGCAGGCCTGGGTTCAATCCCAGTCGGCACCGCCGGGATGTTCTGAGACATAACATCTCTGATCACACCTTCCTTCGGAAGGGAAATAAATCCGTTGGTGCCCGGTTCATGAGTTGATGATGGGTCGATAGGTGTAGGGTCCAGGTGTGGTAGCTGCCTCCCTGGCGTTGGTAGCATTGGTGCTCAGCACGGAAAACAAGATCGACGGAAAACAAATCAAGGAAAAAAATGTAAGGCAAATTTAAGGTCGATGTCAACCCAATGTCGTGTTGTTGTCGTGTCAATTTTGAGTTTATGTCGGGTCAACATCGAGTTGAAGTTTGGTAGAAGTCAGGTTGGTGTCGGGTTGGCTTAGCTTTTGCGCCCGAATGTCGACCAGAGCTCCGTTTATGTGTAGGTTACACTCAATTGAATGATATCAAGCATCTCACAAATGAGAATGATCCATGCCTTTGTCAAATGACTAAGCAACTGATATCACCCATTCGAAGGAGGTCCTCTTTGATAGCGAATAGCTGCTCATCCAAAATGTTCAATTGATTTTGAGAATTTACAGTACTGGTTCAGTAGGTGCTGTTAGGTATTCTTTGTCTTCTTATTCTTGATATTTTAGGCTGCCTTTTTGTGAGCATTTTTACCGGCTCCTCGGCCGGCTCTTAATTTAGTGTTATTGACGCACTTCCACAGTTATTAATTGAGGGCTTTCTATACCACCCAGTGCATGAATTTAAATATTGTGTGTAAAACTCAATATTACCATATTACTATATGCTCTGGACCAAACTCTCCACTTCCGGCTTGGAAATACCGTGCCTTTACTGACTAGGCTATCTGAGGCTAATTAACGGACTGAATATTAAAATGCAAAAAGTGTAAATTGGCCATAGAGGCGTATACGTCACATTGTTGTCACGGCAGCTTGTACCACTTCGTCCCCAGTCCTCATTATTGCTTATAGTGTGAAATATAATACAATGGCTGTGTAGCATAATGTATCAAAGATGCATTTTCAAAAGGACGTAAATAAACACCACCATCAGGCAGGGTAAAGTTTCCCCAACATGACGTATCTCCTTTCCAAAATTTATCCTTGATACACATTATAAAAATTTCATCAAAATTTAACACCTTCTAAGACACTGTTCAGATGTGGCGCTGGTAACAACAACCCATTTTTCTTTACAATTGTATGTCTCCATCTGCGGTAGCCAAAAGCTCGTAACTTCTTCAAACGCACACATTTTGACGTTCGAAGAAAACATTCAATTGGTGTTACATTCTCGGTAAAACTAGCAAAACAAACACACCTACTAACAAGATAAAGCTGCAATTGAACAACCACAACATGTCAAACTAAATTTAATTCGCCTTCTGGCACCAAACTTAAACGAAAACATCTATTATAATGAAAATCTCTTGTTTAATCATTTATTAAACGTCGATCTCTGTTCCGCAATCGAGTGTCAATCACCGACGAGCGTCGATTGCAAATTAGTGATCAACCACTGACGGCCAGGGAGATGAATTTTACGCCTGAAACCTATCAAACCCATCAACACACTTCCTTTCCAAAGGAAGACGTGACCAGAGATTTTTTCGCGGAGAAAAACCTCAATGACCTCGGCAGGGAATGAACCCAGGGACACTGGGATGAGAAAGCTTACTACTCAACCACCGGCCCCGTCAAGGTGAGCATGTTTATTATTTTTTCCTGTTTGGCCTATTGCATGGCAAGCACAAGCTATGCCCAAAGGAAGTCAAAAACAATTCCAACTCGAAAGATGAACGCATATCAAATGGATTTTTGATGTGCATTTATAAGTACAGAATCAAAAAAATATGCTTTTGATCCCAGGGCGCAGTAAGAAGCATAAATTAGTTGCGTTTGTCTACATATGAATATCAAAAATGATTTGGAACGATCTCACCAAAATATATTTAGGCCTATTCTGCAGGTTATGTGACTCTTATGCCACGGATACACTTGTATGACAAACTATAAGCATGAGCATTATTTGTATAATAATTATGAGAACTATACAAAAACTATACAGTGTAGCCATGGATGAGCACGACTTTACAAATTATATACAAATAATGCCTTGTTCAGACTACAGAGTTATAATATGTTATAGCGCTATCTTGATGGTGATTCCTGTGTTGCGATTATTTGACAACCGTTAAAACATGTTATAACTGCTCAGTCTGGACAGCACTTAAAACGCTGTACAGACTGGAGAGTTATAACATGTTATAATGGTTGTCAAATAATTGCAACACAGAAACCACCATCAAGATAGCGCTATAACATGTTATAACTCTGTAGTCTGAACGTACTATAAGGCTCATGCTCATAGTTGGTCATACAAGTGTATCCGCGCCATTAGTCACTAGTGAGGTGACAAAAGTCACGTCCATTCGTCCATTTGATTTGCACCGAGAATCGCCTCACACGACTTGACTTTTGTCACCTCATTAGTTACAGAGAGTCACACGACTCGCAGAATATAGGTGATAGGCTTTTTCATGCACCATCAATGTAGAGTGCGCTAGCCGATTTTGAGAGAAAATGTCATCCAATCCATTTGTTTACATCAAAATGACGATTTTCAAAACTCAAAATAATGTACATTTTATTGCACAACTTGCAAATTTCCATCGGGAGTGGTCTTATTTTTCTATTATCTATAGATCTGAACTGATTTACAGCTGAAATAACCACATATTAAAAATCTGGAAGATCATAACCGCTGGGACAATTTTATAAATCTTACTTTTTCTCATCAAAAATATATGGAAGCACCAGCTGGATCACTGCAAACCCGATACAGAAAACAA